TTCATCTGGGGACCACAGGTTTGCGGTGGTTAAGAGCTTCATCCAGGTCTCCTGGCTGTGAATCACCAGCAGAGAGGGTCACACCTATGTCCTGCCCAGGGTACCTGGGCCACCGGCCAGGCCAGGCTCCTCTTCAAGTGCCTCTGGGTGACTTCTTAAGGAAGCTTGAGGTGACCGGGTGTCCTCAGGGCCTCGCCCTTGGGCATTGAAGTGGCCAGGAAGCAGCTGGGCAGCTCTGCTGAAGGTGCTGATGTGGAGGATGTCCTGGGGCATCCTTCGGTATGGTTGTCATGGAAGCCAGGACAGTAAGGCTGTGCTCCCCCTGCAGTGCCTGGCAGAGGAGCTGTGGGGTGCATGTGGCCCAAGGGCTCTTGAAATTGTACACAACCACTATGTGTGTGTTGGTGTGGATTCTGTGGAATCGATGGTTCAGTGGAGGTGGTGTGATCCCAGAGAGAAGCCCTGGGCCCCCACTGTCCAGGCCTTGTCAGGTGATGCTCCCATACTGCCCACACTGAAGGATACCCTAGGATGCAGGTCTCTGCAACTTGTCTGTGGTTTTATTAGGCGTGAGATCTTCAGGAGGTGGCTCGTGGTAGTGTATGGCTCTGGAGACCTCCTGGGAGAAATCTTGTGTAAATATTCAGAGTAGCTGGATGTGTCTTGAATGCATAAGCTCTAGTCTTTATCTCATGGATCCCATGAAATATGTAAATACTTCTCTTTTCCCACTGACTGCCAGGAAGCTCTGGCCCCTATGTGTGGCCCACGACCACCATCATACTGACCTTGTTTCTGCTTCTTTTAGAATTTCATGTCTTGTTTTCCCCTTGCCTCATTGTCATCACCTAATTTTCCTAGGAAAGAGAGAATCTTGCTGTTTTATGTTTTTGAGCCTTAACTAAACAAACATCTATGGTGGATTAGCGTAGGGTCCTGTAGACCTGGGAGTAAGCATTCCCTCCCACAGTGCCCGTTCCAGCCAGCTCCTCCTTCCCTGTCCGGTTCCCTGGCCTTTGCTCTGATTCCTGCACCCCGGAGCCTTGGGGCCTCTCCATCCTGACTCCCAAGTCTGCTCAGAGAGACCTTGTTTAGTTCCGCTTTTCTTTGCTCTCCCTCTCCATGCCCTTGGATTTTGTAAAACAGTTCTGGGAGGAGAGAGGGAAGGGAGGCATTTTCCCAAGTTAAAAGGCAGCCACTTTTCCACAACCCTGGCTCCTGTGTGTCCCAGAGGTCTCTAGCCAACTACTGTCCTAGTGGCCACCCAAGCAAGGAGAGCCCTGCGCTAGGGGACCAGCAGCGTCTTGCAAACGGGGGAGGGGATCCCTGGGGACGGGACAGGAAGGGCTCCACCTTGTCATCAGTCACCTCTCAGCTCTTGTGTGAAGTGGCTTCAGTCTGTCTCCGAGATAATGTGCTCAAAGAGAACCAAAAGCTCCCCGTGAACTGCCTCCAGCTCCACCCGCCGCAGGGCACGGAGTTCCTGCTTGGCGTTCCCAGTGGTGTTTCTGCAGGTATATAAATATTTGTGCAGAGATGACAGGCATCACATCATGCTCTCTGGTCCTGGCTCTTCTGACATTTAATGTTGGGTGCTCTGTCCTTGTCAGTATAAGCAGATCCCTGGAGCCATCTCTGTCACAGGACAGGGGCTCATAAGTAGTGAGGGGGCCCTCCTCAGCTTCAGGAGGCCCTGAAAGTGTTTTAAATTGTGTGTGTAACATTCTGAGCACAAATGGCATTTTCTGGGATGAGGAATTGTGTTTCCAAGGGGGTCTGTGGCCCAGACAGAGTCTAGAGCTGCCCAGAGGTCCTGCCAGATTCCCACAGAGCAGGAAAGGAGGGCAGAGCCCCTGGGTCCTCGGCCTGTGTGGCAGTCATAGATCAAGATCAAGCCAGTCACAGATCAAGACAGATCTATGACAGATGCAGACAGAGATGCTCGGCTCTGGTCCCCTCTGGAAGATGCCTGGATGTGTGCACTGCCAGACTGGGTTCCAGTCTGCTGAGAGGGTGGCCCAAGTGTGAAGTGTAGGGCCTTCCTGAGATAGAGAAGCCGGGAGGTCAGAGCTGGGGTCTCTCAGGTCCTTGGATGGTGTGTGTGTGTCGCGCGCCTGCTGAGAATTGAACTCATGACTTAATGCTTGCCAGGCAGGCATTGTTCCGCTGAGCTACATCCCTGGCCCTGGTCCCTGAATCGCGGAGACACCTAAGTACAGAGAGGCCAGGGCAAGCCCACGGCCACTCAGCCAGGGAAAGGCAGAGGCTGCTCCTGTGGGGATAGAAACTTCAGTGTTCTTCCCATCCTGAGAGGAGATGGGGCGAGGCTGCCTGTTGCTGCTGGCTGTGGCGTGCGGCTGAGGAGGCGGGTGTGCAGCCTGGGCGGGCGCCATGGTCACACCTCGCCGCTGCTCCCCGCAGCGTTCCCGCCGCTGGCCGCCTCTCCTTGCAACCCGCCAGGAAAACGCCGGACTGGGAAGCCGCACTACATCTGGCCACTTGAGGGCAGCAGGAAAGCCAGTGCGGTGCCTAATGCAGGGAGAGAGGCGGGGAAGAAGCGATGTGGGCGGAGGTCTGTGTCCGGGTCAGAGTCAGCTGGTGGGCTGCAGGGTGATTTGTAATGAGAAGCATTCGCCAGAGAGGAAAGCAAAGAATTAATGATGATGCCATTAATCTTGTGCTTGGCACTGCCAGAACTAATTAGTCCTGTCAACAGCCTTGTTATAATTACCCCCATTTTGCAGGTGAGAAAACAGAGGCCCAGAGAGATTAAAAGATCTAGAAAAATTCCCACAGCCAGTAAGTGGCTGAGCTGGGAGCTCCTGTACCTTAGCTAAGTGTCTGGCATTGTCTGAATCCTTCCAGAAGTCTTTCAGTTCTCACAGTCACTGCTGTTATTCCCCTTATGGATGGGGAGATCAGGGCTCAGAGGCAGCAGGTGAACTACCCTGGGGTGCATCCCTGCTGGGTGACAGATCCAGGCTGACATGGCTCACAGCATGAGCCCTTCGCTCCAAACTTCTTGAGTTTTCCAGAATGGAATTTTGCTCCTCTCACCTTGGGAGCTGCTGACGCTGAAGTCTGAGCTTTTCTCTGGGCCTGGAATTAGTTTACCACCTCTCCTGCCTTCCGGCACATAGGACAGACAGATCCTGGGTGCCTCGGGTGTCAAAGACAGGACCCACTGCAGGTGCAGGGAGGCCAGGCTTGGGTCACTGGAAGTCCCGGAGGGGCCCTGGGCTCCACCTTCCTACTTGGAGCGCAGGGCCATTGAGAGGTCTTTTGCAGTGGCCAGTGCTCCCTTGAGAACAGCAGGACCTGGCTCTGGGGCTCTGTTTTCAGGGCAGATGCCTCCAGCATACCAAGGACACTTGGCCAGCCCTGGACCTGGCTCTGCCAGGGTGGCAGGAGAGGAGGGCATTTCCAGGAGGGCTGGACTTCCCCCGTCTTCCTGTTCCCATGCCCTGCTGCAGCCTCCCTGGGAGGGGGGGGGCTCGTGGCTGGGCTTTAAACCTCTCCCCCAGCTCCGTGCCTTGTGAACTGGGTCTGTTGTCTTAGGAGCTGATGTCACTGGGCAGAACAGCAACTCCTAGTCCTGGCCTTATGTTTTGCTGGTGGCAGTGCGGGAGAGAGTGAGGGCAGTGTGGCAGATGCTCCTTTGCGGCAAACCTTGGCTGCATGCTCTCTTGGGGTCCTAGATGTCAGAGAAGATTCTCTAAGGGCGTGAAACACTGGTGACTCAGGGAGGAGGTCGGAGAAGATTTGTGTGTGCACTTCAGGGCACATAACCTGCCCTGGGCTCCTGGCTGTGCCCTTTGTTGGGTGTGACCTTGCGAAAGTGGAGCCTCAGCTTCCCTCCCCACCGTTTTCTTCCTGAATGATGTTCACCCCCTCTGGTCTTGGCTGCCTGGGCAGAGGAGCAGCCTGCTCTTGGCAGGGGAGCTGGGTTCCCAGCAGAGAGGGCTTTCCTCAGTCCATCATGGGGGCAACATCCCCTGCTGCCAGAAGGTGAGATTGGGCGAGCTGGGGTGTGGTTGAGGACTTGGTTTTTCTTTGGTTTCTGTGAATCTAGACTGTGCTCCTTTCTCTGTTTACTGCCTCTTGGTGACCTCCTACCAATTTGTGTATATCACAAGTCACATTTCACATTTAAAATAGGGTGCCCAGGCTCGGGAGCTGCAGCAGGCCCTTTGCCTGCTCAGCCCGGGCCCTGTGCCCCTCCCCAGGGCCAGCTGTGTTTCCTCCCTTGGGACTGTCTGTGATGGCTGGAGCCTGACCTGGAGGGACTGTGCTTCCTGTTATCTCTTATCTGCTCATGTGTATTCCCGTAGTCTTTGATGGTTGAGCCTTTTATTTCTCTATCTGAGAGTGAGGGACGGCCTCTCCTATGGTTTGTAGAGAAACCCTGATGCCAGGGCTTGGAGAATCCAGGTTAGGCAGCTGTGCAGGTTTGGGAAATGAAGATCCACTGGCCCAGACCCAGAGGAGCCACAGCAAATAGCAGGGTGTGTGACGAACACCCGTAAAGCACAGGTGTTCGTCCCATCAGCAGTGAATGAATGAACACATGGACCAGACAGTGTTCTCCAGCCCGGTGCCTCACCCCGTCTGATTCCTAGCCTCTCTTGTGCAGATTCAGAACCTGCTGGGTCCATGAATCAAAGGCGCGTTTGAAGTCCAAGTCCAGTTCAGCTGGAGGAACGGGAAGTCCTAGAAAGTGGGATCTCCTGGGTAGGGGGGTGGCAGAGAGCACCAGCTCTGGGGAGCTTTCTCTTTGGGGTTACAGCAGCTGATGGGCTCAAATGGCTCTCTGGGTGGTGTGGCTTCTGAGCAGAGATCTTGAGGGGAATAAGTCAGTCAGCTCATGCAGGGAAGAGGCGTGGCACTTCGGAAGCGCACAGTAGCTGCTGACAGAGCCATCGCTCCCATCTTGGTGCTGGCTTGGTAAAGCTCCTCGAGGTCAGCAGGGCTCTCTGGTCCACTTCTGCTTTCCTTTTCAGGTAGCCGCTCCACTCTCTGCCTTGTGGTCGTGGAAAGAGGATCCCCTTCCTGGCTGTCCCTTTGGAGCTGCGCTTTTGACCTGGAGGCTTGGGGCTGAGCCCCCCACCTGCCCTCTATCCCTGTCTCTGAACAGGTTGGCTTTTGAAAGCGGAGACTTGTCTCGCTGGTTTCAAATGAGAACGGTGGGGTCCATGCTGGCTTTCACTGGGCTGGGCACTTGAGCTGCCCAGCCTCTGCCTTCGGGCCCCATGCCGGAGGAGGGGCACAGGCTCATTGGGAGGATCAGGGTGGGTGGGTGAGGTAGAAGGTGAAGTGTGACCCAAAATGCAGGGCCAGACCTTGGGAACCAGGGGTGGCAGTTGGTCGGCTGGGGCCCCCGAAACAGTGATCAATCCAGGGGAGCATGCAGGTCCTTCACTGTCTGGCCCTGGGGGCGGCCTGTGGGACCCAGGGGACAGGGGAGAAAGTGGGAGGTGACTGGGAGCCCAGCGCCACCTTCGGGATCCTCCTTGTCTCTTCAGGCTGCTGGCCAGGGAGCTGCTGCACGGGGTCAGATTGCTGGACCACTGCTGGCTCGGTCTGGTGACACTGGTGGCTACAGACTGTCCAGCCCAGGACAGCCCCTCTTTGGTAGGTGTCAAGCTCCCTAGGAGCCACTCAATGCACTCTCAGCTGGCTGGCAGCTGAGCTTGACTCCCCAGGGTACCTGCAAGGAGCTTGGCTTATCCAGGTCATTTCCCTTTCTGCTCTCCGTGGTCCTGCTCCACCCCCCATCTGCATGGGGATGGGCTTACAGGCTAAGGGCAGAGCCACATCTCCCAGGCCAAGATGGGCTTTACAGGCACCTGGCCCTGTGGCAGTTGGTAGCAATCCCCAGTGCTTGGGCTGGCTGCCTGTTGGAGATTCCAGGAGCCCAGAGGCCCACAGCTGGAGGTAACTGGTCACCCACACCCACCAGCTGGAGGCAGCTGTCCATTGTTCCTGGCCCAGTTGGCCTGGACAAAATACTGCTTCTGCTTCTGCTTCTGCCAGGGACTGGGTTCAGAAGGAGGCATCTGCTGTGACAGAGAAAACTGGGCCTGGGAGATGTCGGCAGAGGTGGCAGATGGTGACAGGTAGTGACAGGGTGTGGCCTGAGGCTCCCGTGAGGGGCAGAGCTGAGTGGGGGGAGTTAAGCTTTTGCACAGCATGGCTGATAGGGACCTTGGAGCTTGTGCCAGGAGGCCTCTGCTGTCACCTGGTATGTTCGATCTTGGGGTACAGTTTGTGCAGCTCCCTGAAGTTCCCAGGAGTCCCCCAGAGAATTGCAAAGTGTAGTGCTGAAGCTTCTTAGGCCTCAGGGGTGCGTGGCCGAGCCCTGGGCAGAGGCTGGGTGTTTCCCATGCTGTGGGTATTGCCTGACCATTGGCCCCCTTTGCCCACAGACCTCGTGTCTTGGAGAAGCAGCCCCATGAAGGTGGCCAGCCATGCAATGCTCCTGGAAGGCCGTCCTCCTCCTGGCCCTGGCCTCCATCGCCATCCAGTACACGGCCATCCGCACTTTCACCGCCAAGTCCTTCCACACCTGCCCTGGGCTGGCCGAGGCTGGGGTGGCCGAGCGGCTGTGTGAGGAGGGCCCCACCTTCGCCTATAACCTCTCTCGGAAGACCCACATCCTCATCCTGGCCACCACGCGCAGCGGCTCATCCTTCGTGGGCCAGCTCTTCAACCAGCACCTGGACGTCTTCTACCTGTTTGAGCCCCTCTACCACGTCCAGAACACGCTCATCCCCCGCTTCACCCAGGGCAAGAGCCCGGCTGACCGGCGGGTCATGCTGGGTGCCAGCCGCGACCTCCTGCGCAGCCTCTATGACTGTGACCTCTACTTCTTGGAGAACTACATCAAGCCGCCCCCTGTCAACCACACCACTGACAGGATCTTCCGCCGAGGGGCCAGCAGGGTCCTCTGCTCCCGGCCGGTGTGCGACCCCCCAGGGAACCCCGACCTTGTCTTGGAAGAGGGGGACTGCGTGCGCAAGTGCGGCCTGCTGAACTTGACCATGGCTGCCGAGGCCTGTCGTGAGCGCAGCCACGTGGCCATCAAAACAGTGCGGGTGCCCGAGGTGAGTGACCTTCGGGCTCTGGTCGAAGACCCCCGCTTGAACCTCAAGGTCATCCAGCTCGTCCGAGACCCCCGCGGCATTCTGGCTTCCCGCAGCGAGACCTTCCGTGACACGTACCGGCTGTGGCGACTCTGGTACGGTACAGGGAGGAAGCCCTACAACCTGGACGTGACACAGCTGACCACGGTGTGCGAGGACTTCTCCAACTCCGTGTCCACCGGCCTCACACGGCCCCCGTGGCTCAAGGGCAAGTACATGCTGGTGCGCTACGAGGACCTGGCCAGGAACCCCATGAAGAAGACCGAGGAGATCTATGGGTTCTTAGGGATCCCTCTGGACGGCCACGTGGCCCGCTGGATCCAGAACAACACACGGGGTGACCCCACCCTGGGCAAGCACAAGTATGGCACCGTGCGGAACTCGGCGGCCACAGCCGAGAAGTGGCGCTTCCGGCTCTCCTATGACATCGTGGCCTTCGCCCAGAATGCCTGTCAGCAGGTGCTGGCCCAGCTGGGCTACAAGATGGCCCGGTCGGAGGAGGAGCTGAAGAACCCCTCCATCAGCCTGGTGGAGGAGCGGGACTTCCGCCCCTTCTCGTGACGTGGGCGTGCGGTGGGGTGGGGCGCAGGGTCAGTTTGATGACATGGACCATTTCTAACTGTTGCCTTATCCCCCCCCACCTCTGCCCCATGCCATCTGGTCTTTGTGTCCTCCCTGTCCCTGCCTGCCCTCCCCCCTCCTGCCTCTTTTTGTGTCTGAAATTTGCACTACGTCTTGGAGGGGAATCCCTGGGGCAGAGGGCTCGAGAAGTGGGGGTCGCCTCCCCACCCCCACCCCGTGCAGACACGCAGATGTTGGGTCTCTCGGTGGACCGTGACGATGTTTACAAGCACCCCGCTCACACATTCACACACACACATGGGCACTGGCGGGGAGAGGCACCCCTGGCCCCTGACCTCCAAGCTTTTGGGACAGAGGAGTGTGGGGCGTGGTGGTTTTGTACTGTCTTGTTATTTCTGCAGGGGAAGGGGATGGAAGAGAAGGGTGCCTCTCACTGACATAGGAAAGGGGTCTCTCCCTCCCCGCTCCCTGCTTCCTGCCCCTGGCATCCATCTTCTCCCTTAGAGCAGAGATGCCACCCCCCTGCCACCTTGCTTGTCAGGGAGCAGGTTCTAACTGTGAGGTGAATGTGGGCCTTGTTGACCTTCTCCAGTCTGTGGTGATGCTGTCTGTCTGTCTGTCTGTCTGAGTCTTGTGGGTGCCCCTGGACCGGCGATGATGGATGAGTCTTCTTATTATGAGTTTCTGGTTGCCCTTGGGGTCCATCTGTGTAATTTCTTTGTGCCAAAAAGAAAAAAAAAAAAAGAGAGTGGATCAGTTTGCTAAATGAACAATGAAATGCTTTACCTGTGTTTTCTGTAAATAAAAGTGTGCAATAGTAGTGGGTTTGATTGTGGGCTATTCTGAGACTCTGGGGACTCTTGGGGTTCTTGGGAGAAGAGCAAGAGGGAGATGGGGTGGGAATTAAACAGCAGTGATGGCTGTCAGAGAGCTCATCCCCCTCCACACCCAGCGGGGTCTTCTTTCCCCTCTGTCCTTGAGATTAATGAGGCCCTGCCCCACTTCTTTCCTGTGCGGTGTGTTCGCCCTCTAACTGGGGGCCTGGTGCCAGGGTGGGTGATGGTGGTGGGGTTGGCAGGGAAGGTGGCTCCGTGGCTCAGCACAGCGGCTGCTTAGTGGCTGGCCTGGGAGTGTTTCACAAGAACTGCAGGTTTACCGGCGTCTACACAGGCAGAGGCTGTGCCACGCTTACTTCCTTCTCCTCACTGGCAATGCTGCAGCTAATCCAAACAGCTTCCCCAGATCATGTTAGCAAGAAAGCAGTTGTCCCCGAGGGTGGCTGGAGGTCACAGCTAGCTGGCCGGCACAATGGGAGGGACTGGGGGCTGGACGACCTGCCGGAAGGAGGGCTTCCTGAGGCTACTAGGCCCTGGGCTGTACTGTGCGAGCTGGGAGGATGTAGATTCAGGAGCCGGAGCCAAGGCTTTAATTAATAGGAGCCCAATCAAGAGAGGTCATTTCCTTTTGGAATTTTCAATTCTTTTTTACTGAAGTAAAATACACACAACAAGAGTTTTCATCTTTACCATTTCTAAGTGTGCACTGCATGAAATACGTTCATAACATTTGCAGTTATCATCCTCACCCATGTCTGTAACTTCACCGGTGAAACTGAAGTCTGCACCCATGACGCAGAGACTCCCCATTCTCTCCTCTGCTGCTGGCAGCCATTGCACTCTCTGTCTCTATGATTCTGAGAATTTTGTATAAGTGGAATCATGAATTATTTGTGTTTTTTGTAACTAGCTTATTTCACTTAGCATTATGTCCTCAAGGTCCGTCCATATTATAATGTATCAGGGTCTTCTTCCTTTTCAGGGCTGAATCATATTCTAACAATATACTGCATTTTGCTTATTCATTCAATGGATCCTCTCAATGGATGCAATGGATGCATCTGTATTTTAGCTATTGTGATTATACTGCTGTGAACGTGGGTGTACAAGTATCTCTTTAAGATGCCACTTTGAAGTGGGTATGGTGGTATTTCCCTGTAATTCTAGCACTCTAGAAGGCTGAGATAGGAAAATCCCTAGTTCAAGCCCAGCCTGGGCAACTTAGCAACTTAGCGAGACCTTTTTCCAAAATATAAATAAGAGCTGGTGATGTAGCTCCGTGCAAAGATGCTGGGTTTAATCCCCAATAGTGAAAAAAAATCCTGCTTTCAGTTTGGTATATATATCCAGGTTTGGAATGGCAATTCCATTTTGAGGTGCTATCATACTGTACTGTACTGACACAATTTAGAGGAAATGTCTCTTCTGCCTTATGATTGCAGGGTTTCAGCCGTAGTTGGTGGCTCCCAGGAAGAAACATGGCGGAAGGGAGTAGAGAAGCAAAGGTGCTCAGCTAATGGTATCCGGGAAGCAGAGAATGGGGGAGGGCCTGAGAGGCAGGGGTCCGAGGCCAGACTCAGTCTCCAAGGTCATCACACCCTTCCCATGGTGACCCCAACTCACCCAGAAATGTGCTTCGCTAATCTAGACATTGCTCAAGACAGTCAAGTAGACATTAGATTGATCATCATACTTAGCATTTTACATTCCTGTCAACAGCACATAAGGACTCCAGTTTCTCCACACTTTTTTCAACACATACCCATTCTCCTTCTGTTCCTTTTTCTTTTCGATAGCCATCCTAATGGGCATGAAGTTGTAAACTAGAACATTTTCTTTTATTCTCAACAGACGTGAGCTATGCAGGTCTGGTATAGTGGCTGTCAGATATCAGGAGCACTGGCTCTTTCCACGTTGTTGCTGATGTACCTTCCTAAGGTGTCCTTGGATCGATGGCCCAAGATGGGTGGCAGGCAATGAAGGAGAAAAGTGAGAAGGGCAGTATCCTCCTGCTATGTATAAACACAGCTCTAAAGTTCAGACATCACTTCTACTTGTTCTCATTGGCTAAAACCTAGTCATGTGGCCATACGTGTCTGCAAGGGAGTCTGGGAAATGTAGTTTTTTATCTGTGTGGCCAAAACTGATAAAGCGGCTGATGAGGCCAAAGTTGATCTTGGGATTTCAGTTTCTCTTCTGCAAAGGGGAGGTGGAAGATTTTCTCTACCTCTGGCTCATCAGAGCTTCTTTTGCAGCCTGGGGTGAGCAAGTCATCCAGTTGGCTGGTCCTAGCCATGATATACTGAATGAGGTGGCACTTGTCTCCTCAGGTGCTCCCCTTTCTTCATTCTCTGACCACCCTGCTTGGATTGTCCTGAACCAGAGACTGCTCTCTACAGAATAGGTGGCTTCATGTTGAAACTGGGAAACAGTGGAGATGGTGGGCTTTTTGGAAAAAGAAATTTTCCTTTCAACCGCAGAAGACTTTTAGGAGGCTGGCAGAGGCTTCAGAAGAAATGTCTGAATGGCAATAGATATATTCATTTATTCATTCAAGTATTTCTGACTTTCTGGGCAGACACTAGGTGATGCGGACTTCAAGAATCATGGTCTATTAGAAACAAACAGGCGAAAAGTTAGCACAGCATGGGTAACCCAAGGAGTTGGTCGTAGAAATCACAAGGCTCCTAGAAGTAGCTACAGGCTTGTTCCCTAGGCTGTGAGATCTCATCATGTGTGTTTCTGCTTTGGACTTAGAGAAGTCAAGGCAGCGGTTCCTTCACTGAGCTTGGGCTGGCCCCATGGAGGAGCATGAGAAAGGCTTTCCCAGCGGTGGGAGACAGGGCAGGGGCACGGAGCTGGAAGTGGGGTGCTGGCTTCTGCTCAGGCTGCAGGAAGGGATGCGTGGTCTGGACCAGGCCCCAAATCTCATCCTTAGCTTGTCAAGCCGGGAAATGTTGCCGTTCACCAAGGAAGTTTAACTTGCAAGGAATTCATTTTAGTTACTAAATCCACTGGACAGACCAACACCCAGAGCATTTCCCTGCTTTTAGGGTATGATAAAACTCTTATAGTGTTTGCAGCCCACATGTGCTGGCTCCTGTCTATCATCTTCTCAGCTTCCCTTCCCCCTTTACTCGTTAGTATGCCTGTTTATTTTCCAATTCCTTGATTGCACCGGGGGAGGTTTTTGCAGTGACAGCCCTCAAGTTGCTCCTGCCTCCCTGTGAGGATACCGTTGTGAGTTACATCTGGATGTCCCCCTAAATCCTCATGCACTCAAAGATGACAGGATTATGGGGACACTGCAGCCAGCTGTGTTGTTAGGAGGTGGGGCCTGGTTAGAAGAGGTGGACCAGTGGGGTCGTGACCTGGAAGGGTCTACCTCCTTTTCTGGTTCCTCCTTTTATGCACTCTGATCCTGTCAGCATGCTCTGAGCAGCCGCCTCTGCCAGGCTCCTCTTCCATGTTGCCCTGCCTTGGAGTCAGCGGAGTATGAAACCTCTACAGACTGAGTCAGAACACATTTTCCTGCCTTACGGTGTTGGTGTTGAGTATTTGGTTCAAGAAATGAGGGAAGTAATTAAGACCCACACCTCTGGCTGGTGTCCTCAGACTTACTGTGGGCTTATCCAGGGCCCTTACTTTCAGCATTAAGAGCAAGTACAGAGGTACAAACACTGTGCCTTGGAAGATTCAAACTCCAGGTGGAGGAAGCCCAGGGTAGCTTGCTAGTAAAGAACCCAGGAGCTCCAGCCAATGATCACTCACAGCACGGCCTGGATGGCTGGAGCACCCTGGTTGAGCCCAGCCAAATTTCTGAACTTCAACACAGTGCTTAAAACATGGTTGTTGTTGGGTGTGGTGGTGCTATTCTGTAATCTCATTTGCATGGGAAATTGAGGCAGGAGGATTCCAAGTTCAAGGCCAGTTTGGACAACTTAGTGAGACCCTGCCCTAAATAAAGGGTGCGGGAAATGTAGCTCAGTGTACAGCATTTGCCTAGTATATGTGAGACTCTGGAAATTTTGGAGTGACTTGTTACACAGCAAAATCTAACTAATACACATGTCATTTTCTGTCCTGCAGCAGGTCTTTTTACAGAAGGTCCCTTGTGCTGGGTTGTTCCTATTTCCCTCTTTAGTTAGTAAATCGATTCTTTAAATCTCAACCTAACTGTCAACACTTTCTTGGTTTTATCAGACTAGTTCAGTTACCCTAATCATGGCCCCTTAGAGAGCTGATAGTATATCCATATCCTGACACTATGTGCACCTCCTTTATTGTGTGTACCGCAGTGTAACCACACTTTTTACAGCAGGACCTGGCACACAATAAGTGTCCAATAAACACTGGTTGACTGACCAGAAGAACAAAGAAAGGAGGTATCTCTGTCAGGTAGAAGAGCTTGCCTGCCCCAGACTTCACGGTGAGCAGCAAGTACCTCTGGCAGACCTGGGTGAGGGGGGCAGCTAAGGGCCTTGCAGGCTGTCTCTGATGTGGTACAGGAAGCCGGCCTGAGCTTTGACCCAAGAGTGCGCACCCTGCTGAGCTGTAGCTCAAGCACTCACACTGGTGCTCCTGTTTCCCTGTTTTGAGGCCTTGGTCACCTGCCTGGCCACTTGTCACAGTCTTCAAGACTGACATTCTGCAGGAGAATGACAGGGAATGAACACCTGTCCAGGATTTATAGTTTACAAAGTGTACCTCCTTCCTGTTAGTCACCCCGTCCTGCGCTGCTTCCTGCAGCCCTGGAGGCCCCTCTTTCTAGTGGGGTCACAGCATCATGTAGGCAGGAGTGACTTCCGGTCTCGTCCCCAGACCGTGGGCTGCTCTCAGCTGTGCTCTGGGGCCATGTCCTGTCTTCTTTGCATCACAGACTTCCTGTTTGTGTGTTCCCACCTGCTCACCCTATTTCTCTCCTCGCCAGCAGCAGCCGGTGGCCTCGCAGCCGCACTTCCCTGAGATCTGAGAGCTCACGGGC